CGTGGAGGGGCACGGAAGGTGAGGAACGTTCGCCGGGTATACGCGGAGCTCCGGGAGGAGTGGAACAGGCAGTTACCACGCTATGTGACACGTGCGCGTGACGTCACGGGGCCGGTCACGCGAGCACCGTGTGCTCCCGGTCACGTGTCCTGTCACGCGCTCGCTCGGCTCCATCCCCCTTACTGCTCGTCGCCGTCGCGCCGTACCATTCGCACCGACCCATCCCTACCACCGTGATCGCCGGTCGTCTCTCTCTAGCTTTTATTCCTCCTGGCTTTGTCTCGGCTGTTCTCGATCGCAGGCTTTAACGTGCCTCGACTTCTCTTTACACACGTCCCTCCATTTACGCGGCACCTTTTTTTCACGCGGTGTATTATGACATTCGCGTGTTATTCCTTCGATGTTGATTTTAGCAATTCAATGACACCGAGGGAAATTTAGTTTTGTCTTATTGCTCTTATTGTTGTTATTATTGTTCTTTCTGCGAACACCTTAGGGTCGCGTGTTTGTTATGTTGAATGTTTTCTGTCGTTTGATATGCAGAAGGGAATTCAGGTACTTTCACGTGTTACTCTTTATACGTGGTCGATTTAGGAATTCAGTGATATCGAGTGAAATTTACTTTTGTTTTCTGAAGTTAGTATTGTCCTTTCTGCGAACACCGTGACTAGCGTTATATCAACCGTTTATTTTGAAAGTGGTATAACTCCACTTAGAGAAGATTAAAGAACCATTAAAGAATTAAAAGACTGTAGAATCGTAACTGCTACAACGATTTTCAGAATAAACGGCTCATATGTTTGTCACGTTGAATGTTTTATATCGTCTTATATGTAGAAGGGAATTCAAGTACTTTCACGCGTGTTTTTTATCTAATATTAGGATGTTGACAGTATTTTCTTGAGTTCGTTCAAGGTTTTGTTTCCTTTTGCGCTGGCGGTTTCTATTTATATGCGATTCTTATTCTAAAACGAATCCGCGTGTAACCGATACTTCGCGTAAATGGAGGGACAGCTGTTAAGTAAGTTACATAGGTATTCATCTGTCGCTAGACTCTATTTAGACGAAGTAGTACTTACGCTCGCAGACACGGCGCATATTCAAGCTTCCCCGTGACACAGGCACACGTGGGAACGATACCCACCATCGCACGTTTCGCCGATCTGTTTGTAAGTGTATGGTGGCAATGCGTCGCCTGCGATCGCGGTGGTTTTCCATGGGAGGATATTGAATTTTCATTAGTCAGCGTCGGAAACGATGATGCTGTCTTCAACGAATTCCGGTGCTCGGTTGCGTTTATGGGAATTGGGTTATTGGAACTTGCTTATTCAAACGTTTATCCATCGTTCACTGCGTATAATGCGTATTAAATAAATAATATCGAACATTTCCAATCGAATACTTTTAACCGTTTGCTCTTTGTAGGCTCTACGATGGCATCAGTTATATTATTAAACATTTCGATGATCAAAAGTGAAAAAACTGCCCTAACAAAAAATCTAAGAAATGTTATAATATTTTTTCATCGTGAGGACTAAAAATTCCTTGGAGTTGCCGGTAGATTGAAAAATCAGGTGGAGTGCTAAGAGTTAAGACATAGGAAAATATCAATATTGTCGGTCTACTTAGTACTACCCTCGAAACCTTAGTATCCATTAAATCGAAGCTAAGTTCAACAGATTGTAGTAAGGCTTTCAATGATATTTAGAAAATGGAAACTGAACTTTGTTATACGAGATACAATGTAAAGTTCGTATCCATGATGCAGTGAGATAATTCGAAGGTTTGGTAAGGTATCACTTGCGTAAGAAACGAATCCGAGAAGGAAATTTGGAAATGAAAATATAGAGTAGAGAGTTACGTTGAGTCATCGATGAATAATTGAATTCAGGGTTCTGTCCAGGTAAGGTTTAACCAGTTCAGTGTCTGATACACGTCACCGTTAAAACCCGAAATAATACTAATTTTTTGAATAATTCTTTATTTCGATACACCTTCTTATTAAAATATACAAACTCTTATATTAGGCATATTAGATTGCTAGATCACGCTATAAACATGCGATAACTGCGTTGATACACAACTTGTTAGCAGCAGAAGATTTATTCGAAGCAAATATTCTCAGGTTACCACTTACCTGTCTCTACTTTCGCCGAGCATTACACTTTCAACCGCATTGAATGTAAATCTATTTCATCGGCAATTACTGGGAGATAAAATATTTACTGTCTCGGAAACCGTCGATTTAAGTGTAACCGAGGAAAATACTGTCAGACCTGTTATTGCTATAGTGATTTGAAACGTGCGCCGCTCGACGATCTCTCGCCGCTTTAAATAATACACGCGACAATGAAGATTGAAGAAGAGTAAACCGTTGCAAGGTAAATAACTCGACGACTGCGTTGCAGACGTCGACTAACAATGCGAATTGAGGAACGATGTAGAAGAAGCGTTTCACCGAATTGGCTAATTTGCGGAATCAAATTCAACGCCCGCCGTAATGTTGATCTGAAACAATATACGCGGTTTCCTTGTGTTCACAGGTCACTCTCGGAATCTAGATTTCGTTCCAGTTACACACGATTGGATACTGCGTAACCGATTACGTTCAACGGCTGATTATGCGAGTGACTTAAAGCTGAAATTACAGCAGTCGTATGGAAAGAATGCAGCTAACGATGCGTTTTTTTGCCGGCCGGATTTACCAATTACGAAACATTTTTATAACGCTGAAATCCGCAGACGGACTAGAAAGTGTAAGTGTCAGCGATTATGTAAACGGCGGCTTGACAGCGGACAACTAAATCTTAATTGTGAGAAGCATAGTCGTGCCTGTGAAGTACATAAACATAATATTTCCAAGGAAGTGATTCGACTCTTTTAATTGTTTAGAAACTTTAGAGCTTTGGTCACGTCGAGTGTAGTAATATACAATTGCCAGTCGAGTCTATAAAGGAATGTTAATTGTAAGAAACATAGTTGTGCGTGTGAAGTATATAAATATAATATTTCCAAGGAAGTGATTCGACTCTTTTAATTGTATAGAAACATTAGAGCTTTGTTCACATCGAGTGTAGTACACAATTGTCAATAGAGGCTATAAAGGAAGGAAAAAAAATATTCGACTTCATTATAACACAACCAGATATTTTTTTATGACTTATATAATTCACAATATAACCAAATAAGTATATTAATTAATCCTTTAAACATAATTTACGTCGAATGAACGATAAACTGTAAAAAATAAATGGCGATAGTATTATACATGAAAGAGACAATATTCTATTGTAATTGAAGTGAAATATTCGATGACTTATAATATTATAAAAGGAAAATATTAGAAAAGGCAAGAGAAAGTTTACACAATTATTTTGTTGTGACAATAATGTGGAAACAAATTATTTACTGTTAGAAAAAGACCTTGGAAATATTTCAAAAGGAATTTCGTGGCACCCGAAAGTCTAACTCGATCCCCGTCGAAAGTAACCGCACAGTATCCCGTTCGAATGTTTCACGTTACCGAGAAAATGTACTTTTTGGGCGGCGTCCGCTTTAAAGCGGCTACGAACTTGACGTGCGCGCGAGTACCACGCGTGTAACGCGACCGATTCGAAAATAGGCGTCTTATTTTCTGCACGGCTCGGGAGAAAATAAACGCGATCTGTGGCAACTTCGAGTTATTCTTGATCTGGTACACCATTACGAGCATCGTGTCACGCTTAATCGACTCGCTCAGGCCCCGTCTGAAAAGAAGTTATTGGGGCTAATGTTCGTCGATTAGGTTACATTAAGACGTCGATATTTCGGCGCTCCTGAACGTTAGACGCAACAGAGCACGATAAGTCGCCGACTCGTTATCGCCGATGGGGCTTTAACCTTTGATTCCCGATTCTGTCGCGGGCCGGAGTAATTTAAATTCCTTTTAGAACACTCGGTGGATTCCTCTTTGAGCCTGAATTAAATTAAACGTCGTTCGGGCGGCGACTGTGTGCGCCATCGGGCCTACGTGACTCCGTCAGGTCGCGCGGCTGCCGTGGGTGGATGCACGTCGATAAATATTCAGTGATATTCGCGTGTTTTCGTTTTCATTCTCGTATTTTTAGACGTCGCGATAAAGCGTAATGAATATTCGATGAATTCTCCGAGACAACTTGAAGAAGCACGGTGCTCTATTTTAATCTCTCGCTTCGAAACACGTGCACGAACAATTTATGCGATACCGTCGAAACCGCTTTCTTTTGCTTCTGTATGGACACGTTAAATTAGCCTCTATCATTGTACATATAACGCACTTTCTCTGTTCGAAGGAAACAATCGTGTAATGTTTGTGTACACGAGATATTACGATCTGTAGACTGCGAACGGTGCGTTTAATAAATTTGGCGTATAAAAAGAGTAGATGCGAAGATCTGTTTCAATGAACATGTAAATGTTTCATTGAATTAACGGGAGATGGATACAAAAAGTAAGAAACTTATGTTTGCAATATGAAAGTAATACATCCGGCGTTGGAGACGCAGTTTATAACGTCAAGTGTCGATAGACCATAACATCTGCAAATGGAATTACGTTTAATCTTTATCGTCGACAAGGTGCTCCATTTTTGTTCGCTTTGTCGCAGGATCAAAGCGACTTTTTCCCGGTGGCGGTCGAGCGACTTGCGTTATGTAAAACCATGGAACGTTGTCGAATTAGCGGAGACGTGACAAAGTGAAATTGACGTGCCCGCGGTTTTAGAACACCGGGGGGAAAAAAGTTACACAAGGGTCGGGAGAGGGCACGTGAAAGCAATTACGTCATGGTGATTGCATCGCGGTGCATCGAGGTGCTTCCCCTCGGCTATCGCCTGAAAATCATGTCTCGCAGAAATGTCCGTTCGTTTGTCCTTGGTAAATTAGAACATTCGCTCGCTACGCGCATAATTATAGCCGCCACTGCGTTCCCTTCTAACCCTGGACACTTCTCCTTATCCACTGGAGGAGAAATCCAAATAGATCTCCGCGCATTCCGAAGAACCATCGCACTTGAACCTGAAAATCCCACGAATATTCCATTCGTCCCGATTCCACGCGAGTGCGAGTACTTACATCTGACTGGTCACGTTATCTCAACGAGCGATCTACAATAACAAGCGCACGTAAGCAATCGTACCGCCAAAGTACAAGGAAAACGTTTCAAACGAAGCTGAAATCGAATTAAAAAGAATACGATCACCTGCTCGTAAAATTAAATCCCAGTGTCCCCGTATCTACCAGCATACTGTCTAATTTTATAAAATAATTCCCCATTAAAATGGTGATTATCTCGTACAAGGATCAAGCTAAAACAACTGCTCCTCTGTTCCCCACCTGTCGAAGTCTCGTATCAGCAATTCTCGTGACGCAATGGAAAAAGGTTTCGTTACACAATCCTGGTTGCATTATCTGAACGGAATCACGTGAAAAAGTAGCATTTTCAAAGCACGATTGCACTGATATAACACACCGTATACGTGTACGTTTAAATATTAAATACATATTTCTCGAATATCTACTTTACTGAACATTCACTTTGCATTTCTACATATGTACAATATTTTAATCTAATATTTCATTCATATTAAACAGTGCGGCTTAACAAATACTTTTCGAATAGTTCAGGAACAACTTAACACTAGAACTACCAAGCAGTAAAGTTGACCTTTTAACCCTTTGCACTCGGAAGTCTTTGAGTAGAAATAGTTCACATCTTCCAATGAGTTGTAGGCGACATTCTTTGAGACGAACTGAACGAAGTTATTGTCAACTTATTACTATTACTAAACATTTTTACTCTCCATCAGTCATCTTGCATATTGCAATTTCTGTCAAGCAATTAAGAAGCGTCGGTCATCGGTGACCGACACCGCATTTCACGCGTTAACCCCTTGGCCTATGATTTCTTTCTCAACTCTGATCTCAACGGCTGCTTTGTCATTAATCATTTATTGGATAAAGAGAAAAATCCTAAGCACATGTTATGCCTATATTCCCTTTTAACATTAGAACTACCGAGCACTGAAATTGACTTTTTGAAACTGCTCCATAGAAACTTCAAGAGTGCATCTATTCAGACTTCAATTGATACATTATTCAATTTGCATATTGCCAAACCAATTTCTTTAACAACTCCCAGAGAAGCATCTATTTTTTTTAATAATAATCAAGGGGTTAACACGCTAAGCGCCACGAAAATCTTAAGCGTTTTCCCACAGAGTTTTTCTTTTGCAGCAAACAAAGCAGGAACAATTATTAATTATTTGCCGTTACAGTGTCTGCGTTACACCATTATCAGCTTAGTTACGTTATTAAACATTTACATTTTACATCGGTTATCTTGCATGTTACGATCGTCTCCTAGTCATTCAGAAGTGTCAGTCACTTATGACTGACACGGTGCTTAACACTAGAACTACCGAGCATTTAATACGATTGATATGTAATCTCTCTAAAAATTGTAACAATAGATTATTTTCAGTTTCTTTGGACATTCATCTATGATGTATGGTGCTATACTATGGTACTCAAGTAAAACTATCTCCAAAATCTTTTCAAATATTCAATGCCTTTAAGATATTACTAACTGCGAAGCAAACAAATCGAAACAAGTAATTTTGACTGATACGTAGTTCTAGTGTTAACGTGTTAACCCCTTGGCCTATATATTTCTCAACTCTGATCTCACCGGCTGCTGTCATTAATATTTTATTGGAAAAAGAGAAAAATTAGAGTATAATAGTATAACAGTTGATTACAGAGGAATAATATTTCGAATTCGAATGAACTAATACATTTCGTTGAATCATGTTGAAAATCACGAGTCTAACTCGTCATAGGATAAGGGGTTAACCAATATTCTTCTGCTACCAGGGTAGCAACGTTCGCAATTCGACGTCCATAACGGAACGACGCCCGGGAGATGTCATTGCACACCGTGGCGCAAAATAACCAGTTTCTGTACTGTCCAGCGCGCGGTCGGACACATTGCATACACGTGTCGGTAAGGGTAAGCGCGTGGTCGAGCGCGTGACTCGACGGCCGAGGCGTGCCCTTCTCTTGATCACGTTGAATGTAACGCGGTTCGGTACCTCTGTCTCCCTCTTTCGCTCTACCTTCTTAGTTCGACACTGGTGTCTCATCGCCGCTGTCTCCTCTCTTTCTCTTTCTCCGTTGCTCCCCGACTCGGCTCTCCGTTCCTCAAACCCTCTTAGCTGCAGCTCTTGCGCCGTGGGTTCCACGAGTTCGCCACGTTTCTCTAGTTCACGAGCCGAGCCAACCCGTTCTCTCTGTTCGCGTTGGCCGGCACGCAGGTATGCCGGCGACCATTGGCTCCGTCGGCGTCGGGGCATCTCTTTACGCGCACATTCGGTTGTGCCAGCAGCGGAGGTCGCGAACACGGAAAAAAGGCGAAGACCTGCTTCTAGGAGACCTTCCTCAAGTATAACCAGGTGTAACTGTCCTGGTTGTTAACGACACCGTGAAATGATCCGAACGGTTTAGCCGGCGGAGATTATTTAGCGATCTTTTAGAGATCGACGATTGCTGTTCAGGAGTTTTAACGCTAGAACTACCGAGGATTTAACCATTTGAACTCTGTAGGCTCCAATATTGCACCAGTTATAATATTAAATATTTCAACGAATCTTAAAGAAACTGCCGTAAAATTATTAGATTTTCCACACATCGAAATTTTGTGCCGAGAAGGAAAATAAAAGATTGAAGGAACGTTACAGCATTTTTCATTTTCATACTAGAAAAATTAGTTGCAGTTGCTGATAAATTACAAAACCATCTGGAGTGCTAATACGACTGATATGTAATCCTTATAAAAATTCTAACAATAGATTATTCTCGGTTTCTTCAGACATTCATTGTAGTATTCAAATCAAAGCTATTTATTTTCAAGATCATTTCGAATATTCAATGCTTTGATATCAATAATTGTGAAACGAAACAATCGAAACCAGTCATTTTCACTGGTACGGTAGTTCTAATGTTAATAGGATTCTTTTCGGTTCTTTTGTTTCGTAATTATTGGTGTCGTTGAAGTATTCAATATTCGGAATGATCTTGGAAATAGTTTCATTTGAATGCTACACTGAAGGAATTGAGAATATTAACAGAGGCGTCCAAATCTTAGGATTATTAACGCCGATAATTAAGAACATCCTAAATTCAAATGTTTCATTGCTAAGGAATTGAATTCCTAACGTATTCGACATTAAATTCATATATATATTTCTCTGAATTTATCTTAGTGCTTCGAAGATCAAAGAGAACCAAATTCTTCGCACCAAGAAAATCAAAAGAAATCACCAGTAAAAATTTCACTGATCCGCAAAAGTAGAAAAAAAGCAAATGCCGCACTCCGAGGGTTAGTGCATAATAATTTCAAAAGATTAAGGCTATATAGAATGAAGTTCACGACAATGTGGCTTATAAATTTCAATGTTATAGCATTCATGTAATTCTGCATCGCAATGAAAATGAATGTATAGCATTCGCGTCCGCGAACGCGTTGAATACTATCCACATTTACGTTACCGTCGTCATTGAAAAACAATGATAACCACGTTCAATAATGGTAGCCAAGAAATTGATCATTTAGAAGATTCACGTGATGGGTTTTCGTGATTAACGCCTACGCATAAGGAAATCTCCGGTGCCGGTGACTATTTAAAGCTATCCTCTACAGGTTCACTTCCGGTCTAAATACGCGTCCCGAGTGCGAGATCCGGTTACCGTGCGACGATTATGAGGTCACCCGCGACACACCGCGATTTATGATGGACTTTCGAAAGTTGGCGGCGTCGCGTTCACCTGAAATCGATAAACAATCGCGCGGAGAATCGAATTGTTCTCCTTCGCGTCGGAACGATCCTGCATTCTTTCGCGAAGTGCCACTTTGCAGCTGTCATTGTCTGTTTTTTCACGCCGCCCCGGACTTTCCAGGACCGTTTTTACGCGAAGCCTATAACAACATTGTAGAACGTCGCGGCGTGTCGTAACTGACCGACAAGATCACGATCTGTCTTTATAAGGATCTATAGGCGTAACGAGTCTAAGGAGAGTCGGCTGCGAGTCGTTCTAATTTGACGGCGTCCGTGAAAAATCTCGACGAGTATGGGCAAAATGATATATGAGCGGGACGTGGCTACCTGTGGCTGGTAATATAAAATTCTGGTATTTTAACGAGAAATTCTGTTTAACAATTCATAATTGAACCGTTGATTTTGAAAGCGACTCAAGTACACTTAAGAAAGGACTGAAGAATGAAAGGACTATGTAGAATTATGATTGTTATAACGATTAACTTGATTCTTTTGGAACATCGATTTAAACCACTTTCAAAATAAACGTAACGTTCTGATTTCTTTTCTTTTAAATCGGCGTAGTTTGAATAGGTTACCGATTGTTAACCCTTTGCGCTCTTATGTCGAGCATGACTCATCAGTTTTATTCACAGGTGCGATTCTTTGTCAAGATGTTTTTCAGATTATTTCATTATATTTTCAATGTCAGTAAGAAGAATCGTTTACACTGCTCGCTAGAAACTATTTATTTCCAAGATCATTCCGAATATTCTACGCTTTTAAGGCAATAATTGCGAAACGAAAAAATCGAAACGGTAGTTCCAGCGTTAAATAAGGCTTTATGCAAATTAACATATCATATCTTTTCATTATTACTTTACTCTCTCTGTCTCCCTCTTTTCTACTCTAGTTCTGTATGCAACGAGAATGAATTTTTAAACGGAACGTGACATTTTTCATATCACACATGTACAATACACGCGCGTACGCCTATACTCGTGCAACACTATAAACGTCACTGCAATTTATGCTGTTTTAAAAGTAGATATCTGTTCTGTCAATGTAACCATAGCGTTTGAAAGGTCAGAGGGCACAGCTTTAACCGCGTTATGAACTATCTTTTACCGACATACACACGGTACATTGAATAATTGTACGCGATGATTCGCCGCTGGCTGTACAATCGACGAAGTGATACTTCGAAATAAATTGATATTTGCAAATAAAACTTTCTCGACTGTGACGCACGAATTCGTATTTATAAGTGGCAACGACACGTTAAGCAAATTACGTCGTATTTAACATATACTCCGTGAATATCCGAATTTTTCGAAAACGAACCCTTATGAGAGAACTTTCTTTTACAATTCTCAACTTATCTTTCTCATGAATTTTCGTTATTTCACGTTGAACGGAAATCCTATGAAAATAAAATGATTCTGCTAAAATCTAACTATACTCGAAACACGTGAAAGATTAGATATCCCAGCTATCAAGAGAAAGGTAATAAAACTATTCCCTTAGTCATTAACACTAGAACTACCGCAACAGTCAAAATGACTGGTTTCGATTGTTTTGTTTCACAATTATTGATATCTTAACCCTATGATTTCTTTCTCAACTGTGATCGTACGGCTACTTTGTCATTAATAATTTATTGGAAAAAGAGAAAAATTCTAAGCATATGTTATGCCTATATTTCCTTTTAAGAATAATGGTCGATTACAGAGGAATAATATTCACTTTGAATTCAAATTAACTAAGTAATATATATATTTATTGAATCATGTCGACAAGGGGTTAAAAGCATTGAATATTCGAAATGATCTTGAAAATAAATAGCTTTGACTTGAATCCTACAATGAATGTCTGAAGAAACCGAAAATAATCTATTAGAATTTTTATAGAGATTACATATCAGTCGTATTAAATCCTCGGTTCTAGTGTTAATTATCATTCTCAGTCCAATAATCCCTAAACCGAACACGTTATAATCGGCATACTTTTCCAAGAATATTCCTGCGAGCTTGAACACTACGTTCTAAGAATAACATTTTCAGTAAGCGTGTGCATTCAATGGATACGTGCCGTTGCCAATTCGTAACGTAATCTACTCTTTATCTTCGTATACTTTTCACGTCTGGTGTCACGTTTTGCTCAAACGTGATGCATCAGTCAACCGAGTCTCCAGACGCGCGTATGCGAGTATGCGTGCGTACCGTTTTCCATGAACGAAGTCGGTGCTTTAAAATACAATCGTCCCTCGATCGTGGATAAGAAAAAGATCACATCATTAAAAAGAATAATAGTTGTTTTGATCTGCGCTGCGACGCAGCGATCGCAATGGGATCCTGTAACGCGATATTACGAATTTCGTAGCAGGTGCTGATCGTTGCCGTCAGTTTCTAGCGGTGTCAAACGTTCTAGCGTCTTCCGGTAAATCATCGATTTATCAGTGGCATAGGACATGCAAGATTTGTTTGCTGTATCGGACGTGGTACGTTAACACTTTGACTGCCACGGTGGTCATCGATGACCGAAGCTTCCAAATTGAGAACAATTGCAATGAGAAAATTCATCAAATATTTAGTCACTTAAGTAAGTAGATAATAATGCAATACGAGTACTGTGATACAAATTATTAATGATTTCTAATATCATTCGCCTTTATTATAAAGGAATAAGAGTCGAAATATTTGGTAACATAAGTAGATGATAATGCAATACGAGTACTGTGATACAAATTATTAATGATTTCTAATACCATTCGCCTTTATTATAAAAGAATAAGTATTACTACACAAAATCCTCGAAATTCTCGTGGCAGTCAACGTGTTAACGTTCGCTACCATCGTCATATTTGCGACAATCGTAATTCTATATTTTACATAATGACAATGAAATTAATCTTACATATTATCATTTAAAGTTTACTTATTACAGTTTCATTTTTCGATATTATATTTAGATTTATTAGATCGAAGTATAATTGAGGTCCACCGAAATGGACGCTGGTAGCGAACGTGTCAAGTGAATTACGTTTCAAGACGTCGAGGCATTTGTTCAACCAGTTAACCGTGTTTGACGAGTATACTCGTCATGGTAAAAAGTAGTGACCATCGGCTATTTAAATCGTAATTTCTGTGAAAATCCAATGGCCACTACTTATTACCACGACGAATATACTCATGACACAAAATCCTGCAACTTCTCCGTGACGAGTACACTCGTCAAACACAGTTAACAGGTTAATCGTTATATACGTGAAACGGGAGAACAAATAAGCAAGTACTTGCCTTTCTAGCGCACCGTAGTACCGCAGCTACGTTCCTTGTCCTATCGGTGACCTTTGGTTCAGATAACGCTGACTCTCATAGAGTGTAACAGATACTGCAAAGTCATGATTGTAACGAGAATGTTTACGGTTCCTGATGCTCGAATTTCAAGTTACTTATCTTTGGTATTTTCGTGAAGCGTTATCAATCGGCCGTTACGATCCTCTCGGTTACGAAGAGTACTCGCGCTACAGTTTACAGCGAGAGAGGACACTTAAGCCTCGCGGCGTAAAATCCGCGAGAACTTTACTCGGTGCGACCGCTTTTGTTATCTAAAAGAATATGAAAGGTTCCCCAATCGAACCTTGAACTGCTTCATAAAAGTTTTCTATATTTCTTTCATATAAGATCTCACACGGACGCACGGGTGGAATACATCACGTGATGTAAAAAGAATATCAGAACTTCGTCGACCTTGTGGGATGGATGCCTGTAAAGAACGTGCACACAAGTCCAGCTTTGTTGACGCCACCAAGCGAGCATTCTGGCTGTTATCGCCGCGAAACCGGTTCGTTGTTGGATTTATTCGGTTCCAATATCGACTGCTGCTGGGGGAGTTCAAGAAGGCAACCGACGATTAACAGTGTCGTCGGCTATCGAGCCGTTCTTAGCCAGTTACCGCGATTTCTTTTTTTCTTTTCCTTTTCTCTCTCTCTCTCTCTCTCTCTCTCTCTCTCTCTCTCTTTCTCTCTCTCCCTCTCATTTCTTT